AATAAAACTAAAGATTAATCCTACAACAAAACTAAAGATTAATCCTAAAATAAAACAAAAGATTAATCATATAATAAAACTAAAGATTAATCCTACAATTAGAATGTAGATTAATCCTACAACACAACTAAAGATTAATCCTACAATGAAACTAAAGATTAATCCTACAACAAAACTAAAGAATAATCCTACAATAAAACTAAAGATTAATCCTACAATAAAACTAAAGATTAATCCTACAACAAAACTAAAGATTAATCCTACAACAAAACTAAAGATTAATCCTACAACAAAACTAAAGATTAATCCTACAATGAAACTAAAGATTAATCCTACAATAAAACAAAAGATTAATCATATAATAAAACTAAAGATTAATCCTACAATAAAACTAAAGATTAACCCTACAATAAAACTAAAGATTAATCCTACAATACTACTAAAGATTAATCCTACAACAAAAATAAATTAATTAACCCTACAATATGTACTAAAGATTAATTTCTGATGCAGTTTAGATAATCGGAAAACTTTCTAAATTCTAATTTGGAATTTTGTGCAAAATTGCAATTTATCCATTAAACTAAAGAAAGTTTGGATTTTTCTCAGATATTCTTCTCAATCCTTATTTACTCAACCTTTCCTAGTGTTAAATAAACTTGCAAACCTTTTCAATTATTAACTATACTAAGGGTTCCAAAGACCAATTTTGCTTTCAAAACATCCGGAGCGGCGCAGCGAGTGATGTTTTGTAGGCAAACTTGGTCGAGGGAACCCGTGGTTAAATAAAATTTTTAATTTCCCGATTTTTTATGAAAACTTCGCAGAGCAGGTCGTAAATTTTACTTAATTGTCTCAAGTGACGTAAAGTAACTTAAAACATCCCTCTGTTGGGGGAATCATGGGTCGGTAATGTTGGTCAAAAGGCAGTAAAAGATGTATTTTAAAAGTAATTTGGTTAAACCAGATCTGACATTCATTAGCTATATATTTGCAGGTAATAAGGAGGACATGTTGGATTGAGAACTCTAGATTTCTCCATGAAGGAGAATATTTGTTCCTATATTTTATCCTATTTTTTTAAAGATTCCTATAGTTTGGATTTAAGGAGAAATTACAACCTCTACAATATTATGTTTCCCAATTAAATTTGTTTTAATGTTCTAGAAAAAAATCAGCGATTTTTTTTCTCATTTCATTTTGCTGCGCCTAAACTAAATCTATCTATCTATCTATCTATCTGTCTATCTATCTATCTATCTATCTATCTATCTATCTA